TTTCCTATATAACAACTATATATGCAAAACTGCCTATTAGCTATTAAATTACCTAATATTTTTTCATTTAATTATATTTATACTTTCCTCTAAGTAGTTCTCTTGTTAATTCTCAAATTAAGGGTAAACTTTAACAGAAAAAAAAGAATCCAATATTACCTTTTAAATGTATCAAAAACACCTGAATCATCAAAATTAATGGCATCGGGGTGTCCAGGAGGTAGACATACATCTCCAATATGAACTTCACAACATGGAATGCCGTGCTGTACCACAGTCAAGCTTGGATAAAACGACGACCAACCTAAAGTTAAACAATAGTTGCATAAAGAATGAGGATTGACAGAAAGCACCCTAATTATTTCACAATAGACATATCACTTCTGTATCTTAAAAAGTTATTTCGTAAAATAAGTCCCAAGAGATTTTCTAACACAAGTCATGTATCTGCAGTAAAGTAGTACCCGCTAAGTATTTTCTTTCAACAATGTAAAAGCTCTCCAAAACTAGTTTAATTCAGTACTTTATGTGTATATATATATATGTGTGTATATATATGTAGATATATCAGTCATCATCATTTATTCACTATCTTATAGACTGATGGAACTGCTGAGTGACTGAACCATGAAATAGTCTCTGAATTATCAAATTATGTTTAACGTGGTGTGATTATAATAAGGCTCTGAAGAGTGAGTTTGGTTTATAGCATATTTGGTAACTCTTAATGAAAATGTGATTATCATCACACTTCATTCCCCAAACTATATGAAGATAACAGAGAGCTTATTATAGTATGCTACATGAATCTAAAAAATTCTCAGACTCAGGAGGCTGAATTCCACCTGACTATTGCTAAGATACTTAAGCACCATTAAGTATAATTATAAGCATTTCCTATGGTAGTTTTATATAGTTTAAAAGAAATTTTCTAAAATTTTTTTTCCTTAATCATCAAAGCCATAGACATAATTACAGATTTAAGAAGCTTTCTTTAAAAAGTTACTACAAATTCAGTTAAAGCCCTACCTTTATTTTTAACATAGAAAGGGTGGTCCAGCTTACACTCTACAGTAAGTAAACCATCTTCTACTGTACCAGGATCAAAAGTCAACTTCAGTACTGACTCGCCAAATGATACACTTTCTTCATGTGATAACAACTTTAGACCATCAGAACCATAGCCCTGAAAATATATGCATAGAGTGAATGAATTGGAAATGTTCAATTCAACAAACAGTGAAGCTTCCATTACATATAAGACTTCGTGAAAAAGGTAAAAATACCCAAGATGGGATGCCTGCCTTTAAAGATCTTTCAACCCAGTAGTGAAGAAAGACAAATAACTAGACTGGAGTAAACACTTTAATTCACATAAAAATAGTGGTGATGGAGTTAATAAAGAAAGTTGTTAATTCCAAAAGAAAGATTAGGGAGGACTTTCAATTCTCATTTGAACTGAGATTTAAAAGAACAATGCAATTCAGAAAGGCAGAAGAACAGGTTTTGCACCAGAACAGTTGTAATTAACTTCTGGGGGGAGTGCTGAGTATTTGCTAAAAATACAAGGTGAGTTCAGATTTGGGCAAATAAGGCTAAACAGGAGAGGCCAATTAGTAGAGGGCTCTTAAAGACAGGCAAAGTGCTTCAACTTTTTACTTAGAAGGTATTGGGAAGTCAATGAAGTATCTTTATTAATATGATTGTCAATTTGAAGATGATGATAATGATTGCAGAATAAGAAGGGATCTCATATTTAATTATTTGAGGATATAATGAGAGATACCCAGTATAGTCCTGAATTGACAAGTGCAGTGGTGGTAGAACCAGACTAAATTAAAATTCCATGAATACTGAGCATTTAGTATATACCAGGTAGGCTCTGAAAATACAAACATTAACAAGACATGATCCTTACCCTTAAATCCACAGAAAAACAAAGAAGACAAACATGCCAATAATTAGCTATAGTATCCAATCATTATTACACTAGTTCATGAACAAAGTAATAAATGAGCAAGAAAGATGATTGTTAAAATCTTTATAGAAATAGAATCAACTGCATATGAAGGAATGGGAATAGCAGAAGACAACTTCAGGGTTTTCAATCTGGCAATCAAGAAGGATAATATTAACTGTAAAAGAATAGGGAAAAAAGCAAGGTAGGAAGGGGAAGAAAAAGTTGAGTGCAATTTTGGTCATATTAAGCTGAGTTTAAAGAGCCAACTGTTATGTAGATATGTCTAACAGGCAGTTGGAAATGTGCCGGTGAAGGCTATCGACATATACTTGAAAATAACTAAATTACAAAAATCTTCTAATTCTTAGAGCTACAGGAGACCTTAAAAGTATTTCAATCTCATTTTACAGATCAAAGCCAACACCCAGAGGGGTTAACAATCTGCCTAAGGTCAGTTACACAGATCGTTGCAGTAAGAGTTAGAAAGCGCACTCAAGGTTTCCTGACTCTAAGTCCAGAGTGCCTTCCCCTGACACCATGGAAGTGCTGTGGACATTATGAGCAGAGAGAAACTGGTGAGGAGAGTAAAGAGGGCCGAACCTTGTCTTACATTCAGCAGACATGCACCCAGTCAACAAGTCAGAATTGGGACACTGCTATGCTATGCTACACAAATCAAGGGACAATGTCAGGAACTAATCCAATGTGTCAAAAATTGCAGAGATGTCAAACAGAACAAGAAGTCTCTGGTCCTAGAAATTAGAATAAAGCTAGTAACCTCTTAGATTTTAGTAGAGTAGCAGAGGCCAAAGTCAGACTACTGTGAACTTTATCAGAATGAAGATTAACAGCCAGGGGGGAAAAATGAAGGGAGCCAAGTCAGGACTATTTTTCTCAAGAGACTCAATAGTAAGAGCAGGATCAAAAAAGGAATTTTAAACAAGTACACTTCACATACTTGTTTTCTGTGCCTAGGGAGGAGATGGAGAAATTAAAGATTTCAAAGTGAAAGGTGTCAATCGATATTTATCCTAATGTTGCTCACTACTGCTTTTGCTCATCAACTTAGAAAATGCTAGTGTTTTATGGAGTCATTTTAAAAGTAACTTAATATAATCAACTCTCAATTATCTACAGGGGAATTAACCACTTTGTAGATTACCTAAGAAAAGGCTTTGGTTAGTTTATTTATTATTTGTTTTTAATGTCAGTTTAGTTTTTCCCAATGTAAAATGTATGAAACACAAAAAATTGCTAAGTAATATACTTTTTCCATTCAAGAAAGCATAATTAGAAAGGTAAACCCAAAATCATTCCTCCCTATCAAGTTAAGCAACAATGAGTGGCTACAAAACCTCACCTAAAATATAAGATGTCATTTAAATATTAAGTAAATGGAGGATATTCCTGTAGATTAGCAATAAAATTTATGTTTCATTCCGAAAGATTTTGAAAAATTTTAAAAGAATTTTAAATCAACCTTGTGAGCGCTCATTTGAAGATCTTCCTCATTGTCACAGCCTTCAGCTCTAGCAAAATCTTCAACATCCTGCCATTCCTTATTGCTTCCCTTATGAAAGCACAATCGTGTGCCTAAAGTTTTAAGTAGAAAACAAATATTAAATGTGTAAGTAGTATGCAACACAAGTTAGGTGTAAATAATTAAAGTTTTTTTTCTTTTACCTTTCAAAAAACAGTGCCAAACAGTTGAAGGCCAGGAATTGCACCATCCCAAATCATCATCATCTGACAGGGAGGACATGCAGAAAATGCCAGATTCTGACTCACTATTTGCCTATGGAGAAACATATTATCACCTTTTTTATTTTTGCTTTTTAAATGCATCTTTTAATAACCATTTTTATCCCAAGTTCTTAAGCTCACATTTCTTATTAGTGGATAAATTAATCATTCTAAACTTAGGGGAAAATACAATGCCTTCAAAAACTGAAGTTTTTCAAAGTTTTAATTAAATGTACATTCCCATTAGTAATAAACTTTCCTAACAGTTAATAGAGTTGTTTATAAAGCTGAATCCAGATCATTAACAGAACATTAAAACATACTATTTCCCATTTGTATGTGCTCCAAAAGAATTTCTTAGGTGGGGAAAGTTAATGTATTTCACCTATGTTAGACAAACTTCATAAAAGTTTAACCTCATAAATAAACTCACCCTTTCATGTCTTACTGGTGTTTCCTCCTTCCAGTGGTGATGAGGGAAGGCTGGCTCACTCTTCGAAGAAGAGGACACTGGTGGAGGGCGTGCATAGGAATGTAAACTTTTGCTAGTAGCTATGATGTGTACAGGAGATGATCTAAAATAAAGCAGCAGTTTTAACCGTAAAGCAAAGGTCCTTAAAGTAGATCCTTCCTTTTGATGAAAAGAACTTCGTATTTAAAGTGCCAATGTTGTTATATGTAAGATACTTACGGTAAACTAGTAAAGACAGTAAGATTTCATCTATAATATGCTGTACCTTAACTAAACTTCTTACCCAAATGTTCCTCACACATTTTAAACACCATTTTTTTCCAGATTTGAGAATGTATTTTAAATAACTACTACTATTTATCCCATTCATTTTTATATCACTATGTATAAATGTGCATATTTTCATTCATGAATAATCATACCCCCTATGCAGGGTTCCCCATCCATTTTTTTCTTCTACTTTGATGTTTTCAGTAAGCCTCAGTATAATAAAGCATTTAAGCTTAATATGACCAACAACGAACTCATTATCTACCAATCATGTATCATTGGGCAGCTATAAACAACTACCCCTTAAAAAAAATGCTTAAACTTATTATAGCAGAGAGCAGCCTATTTGTCCTCCTTATAACTGGACATTATTTCTTGTTTTCTAAAACAAACCTGTTGAAAAGGAACAGGTCTAGTTATTTTCCTTCAAGGATCAACTTTAAAAAAAGAAAAAAAAGTACCCTTTTTGCCTTAAAAGTCTCTTTACCAGGCAGTACTCCCTTTAGAATATATGGAGCTCCCAAGAAGATACTAAAATCCTTCCCTCACAGACAGACCAGATAATCCATGGGTGGGGTAACAGTGAGAAAAAAGCCTATAAAGGATGATTAGTAATGTGCACCGACTCAGGAGTCCAGAAAGGAAGCAGAAAGGAAGACAGCAAGGCCAGGAGGGAAAGCCATCCGAAGGTCCCAATCGGGACAATTCTGCAAGATACCAAATAAGCATTTGGTCCTTAACAGAAAAAAAGTTTATGCATATCTGCACGAACCCTCTTTCACAAAAGATGAAGAGGGACATCTTTCCCATTCTTCCCTTATTTCCTGAGATATTTTATTTGCCCCTCAATTTTTATTTTATCCTCATTAACATTTTCATTATACCTTTGCAGAAATTATTTTAAAATAACAATCTACAAAACTGTACTTTGCTTTCATGTTCATGTCACTCCTTAAATAAAAAGCCCCTCAAATTCCCATGCATTTTAGCATATTTTCCAATCAATTTTGGATTTCAAATTACATGCTGAGTGTTTTATCTTTGCCCAAAGATTGCCCATCCTTTTATTATTGTACATTTAGATATACATGAAATACTAGAGAATGGCCAAACTGCTAAAAATTCCTTTTGTTCATCCCTGACTTCATGACTAATAAATAGAAGAAAGTGAATTTTACCAGTTCCTTTGTTTAATCATTTAAAACATAGGTAACAACATGATATTCTAAAATGTACATGGCCTAAATGTCCTGTGAAAATTAACATGCTAAACATGTCTAAGCACTAATACCACCAGTTTCTTCATCCCTCTATCTATTCAGGGATAATATAAACTTTACCTGTCCTCAACCCCTTGGTACCACAGTTATGACTTCAGACATCCACAGCTCAATAACTAACACAGTTTAACACTCTCCAAGAAGTATGAACAGCCAGTGATAGTGTTAGAAGGCAGGCAAGAAAGCAGAATGTAAAATGCTGCAGAGAATGAAATTACATTCTCAGGAAGCTACTCTTTTCCTTATGTCTGTCTTTATACTGATTTTCTTCTGAAGGGTCTGCTCACTTTCCATAAACTCTATTATTAATCCTCATGACTTTGCTGTGAAAAATGAAAAGTAGTACCTCTAAATTAGAAATGGAAAAAAGTTTGATAGTTAAATCAAGGTTGGTTTTTTTCAAAAATGTGAAAGAATTTTTAGCTTTTTGACTATTAAGATTACAATGAAAACTAGGACTGTAAGGGACCTAGTACTCTGAAAAGGAAGTTTTCTTTCCTATGGAAACTGACATGAAATTAAACTGAAATTAATGAAACTGAATTTGCTGTAATCAAGATCAATATCCTGCTAAATAGAAGAAAAGCAGCATAACTTAGTGGGTTCCAAGAAAATTGCAATTTCAGACCTAAAAAGTTTATTCTTCTGCAAAGCGTTACACTAACTTAGGACCAACACCAAAACTCACAGTTGTTCTTACATCACCTAGTACGAACTTTGATCTATCATTTTCCACCCACAGGAGTACAAATCTGGGCATTTCTCTTCTTTACAAACTATCATATTTTTCCATGTCTTTTTAGGGATAAATAATGAAATGCTATCCATTTAGGTCTCCCTAGGAAGCTTCTTATGGAAGCTTCCGTAAGTTCACAGCACAATAACTCATTTTCTTAAACTCTGGTCTGGATATACGAAACAATGGTTTTTACCAATGGAAGCCTACTTTTAAAAGTTCAAGATTCTAACATTAGCAAATTTTAGAATTAGCAAACAATTAAGTAATGTAAGGCCACATACACTATGGAAGAAACAAACCTAGACCAAAAGGAACCAAACTCAAGATTGATAAAAGTTTAAAATATAATGTTTATTACAACTATGGTTCTTTAGACAAATATAATTTTAATTTCTATGAATAGAAATGTATAATGAAAGTATGTCTTGGTCGAATTTATTTTTTGATGACTTTTAAACATTTACAATATTTCTTATTCTACTGTTCTCATTATCCCCTTTATGTAATTCTCAAAGTATGACATCACGGTATTAAGTGAAATAATTCTTTGATCATTGTAAGAGTTTAATTCTAATGACTTTAAGTTCTAATTTAAGTTAACCACCCATTAGATGGTTAACAGCATTA